TAGGACGTGGTCAGCCTGCTGATGAACACCTTGGCCATCTGGGCAGTACAGGCATTAATATATATAAAGAAAGGACTGCGCAAGACCAGTTCTTCAGAGGTTAATTTATCTTGACCCTACCCATCAGTTGAAAGTTTAATCTTTATAGACTACGGTTTATCGCAATCAGTCTCAAGATTAAGTACAACCTGATGAAAGAGACCAAGCAGATTACATATATGCACACTGGCAAACAAGATGCTATCAATATCATGGGTGCGTGAACCAGGACCTTGGTCAAAGACATTAGAAAATGGTGCTAAAGAAAGTGGGGTGATCTAATTTTTTATAAATCACAAGCTATGATTGGACATGGAGTTTTTGGCCTCATGCAAGGAATAAAAAATCAGCAGGATGCATTTTTTTGATTTTCTGTAGGATAGCCCATTGTACAGGTGTTGAAAGTTTAAACATACAACGAGATTGAGCATGTAAGACAACAATAAATATATGAAATAATTGATAGGTGATACTTTGTGACGTTGAAGCATTGAGTTATAATAAAAGAGGATGCTATGCTATCACGTGACCAAAGCTGTACCAGGTCGGCCATATTCATGCGACTCTCCTGTCAATGGTAACTCAATGGGTTGAAATAATGCTTAGGATAGTTCCAACCGCACTTAAGAAACAAAACCACGCGAAAGGGGTTTAGTTGGTCTGTAGCTAACACAACACTCCCTCTGTGGTTAGACCAGTATATGGGGACAGACTAGCATGCTAACAGATTTCCTAAACCCTTAATAAAGATAAAGTACTATATTTGATACCATTTAAATTCTTAGTTACGTAATCGAGGGCGCGATTTTTAAATTCATTGTTGCCAACCATTGAAATATTCGGCGCCAGGCTGATTAACTAGAATTTAAATTTCCCGCTGGGGATTCAGGTGGTAGCTCTGCTGTAAAAAAAGTTGCCTCATTTATTTATTTATTTCCTGACATTGTCTTTCGTTTTGACATTTTAGTTTTCTATTATGAGTTTTTCGTTTAAATCATGTTTAAATGAATTGTGTTGTGATATTTTAAGCTTAAAATTTTTTACTAGCAGACTTTGCAGTCGAACATTGTTCTTTTTAGAACCTCTTTTAGTGCGAAGCGGTACAAGATAGTAGTGATGGGCTTATTCGAATGAAAAATAACCTGCTATTCGGTTATTAAAATAACCTGTGTAATTCAGTTTTCATTTCAAAGTATTCGAATGAAAAATAACCTGAAAGCTGAACCGTACGAACTACGAACAAGTTTCGCCGTCGCTCGTCGTCGATCCGTCGGGTGTCGGGTGAACATCGGGTTAATCGGGTAAGGTAAGGAATAAGAGACGTTTTAAATTCAATTTATGAAGGAAGTTTCGATGCCATCACTCGAATAAAAAACGAATTTTAAAATTTACGAGTAGGTGGTGGCAACGGCAACTGTTACTTATTATTTATTTGTGATTACTGTTTAGAGCACCTATTGATATTGATAATGATATAATAGATTTAATATGAATTAATAATAGGACTTAATTTTTTGTTTAAAATAAAAAACACATTTTAGATAAATTATTTTTTATTATCAGGAAAATAAATAAAATATGTTTGATGTGAATAAATCGATAAGTATGGATTATTTATTATGGATGTCAAAACGTCAAAACATCGTGGTAAAAAAGAAATACAACTAATTCCAAACTATCTTACCAGGTCTGAAGTGATTATTATGTAGGTATGTATGTAATTAAAGATCCATTAAGTTGTTATATCAGTTATTCGTTATTTTATTATATTTCCATTAATTTGATAATTTATAGTATCATGAAATTATATTATGATATAATATACTTTTAATATACAGTTTATAATCATCTGCTGATGATGCTAACATGGTTAGCGAAACGCGCGTCCAGTGTAAAAGTAAAAGTGTTTTGGTGTATTGTGGTGATTTAGTGTTTTATTTTGCTGTGTAACACCAAAGATTCCAACCCTCAACTGTAATGATATAATATAATCATATACAGGGTGTTTCAAAACAAATGCGAAAAATTTCAGGGGGCGATTCCTTGTTCAAAATAAAAGGTAGTTTGCTTCATCAAGAATTACATGTCAGGACAAAAAACATTTTTAGATTAAGAATCTAGTGATAATAACGATAATAATAATCATCTAGATAATAACGTATTGCAGTAGAGTAATGTCAAATAAAATAATATTAGGAACGGCCGACTAGATTTTTTCCTAAAAAAATTACAGCAGCCCACTAGATTCTTTATCAGAAAATGTTTTTTGTCCTGACATGTAATGCTTTACATTTTATTTTTTAATTTCAAATCGGTGAGTTTTATCAAAAAATACAAAAGATAAAAAAAGTTTCTAAACAAACTAAACTATCCAAATTAATTTTTTTGCATGTGTTTGATAAGATTTTTCTTTAAATTTCGTTAACAAGAATGATAGGGGTAGTTTATTTCAACCCCTTCCACTCATTTTAAAAAAGTGAAAAAATTACCAGAAAGTGTGTTTACATAACAGTAATGCTTCCATAAAATTTCATTAGTCTATCTCTTTTTGTTTTCAAGATAAAAAATAAAAACATTATTTTTCCGCCATCTTTGTACCGCGATATCTCCCTAATGGTTGACTTTTGACCCAACGTTTATAAAGCAAATTACCCTTTATTTTGAACAAGGAATCTTGATACCCTAAAGTTTTTCGCATTTGTTTTGAAACACCCTGTATATTGATATTGCCTAATCAAATATTAAATATTTACTAAATTAACTTGTAAATCGAAAAAGTACGACAACCACCGGACTAACAACTGAATACTGAAACTGAATCGCCAAACTGGAATCCGACTAAGCCAACCTAAACCTAACGAAAAATGAAACTGAAAGGAGAGTCCGAATTTATTCGAATGATTATTCAAATAATCATTCGGTTATTAGTATTATTCAAATGCTAATAATCCGGTTATTAGAATTGTTCGGTTATGCCCGTCACTGCAAGATAGCATAATAGCCATAAAAAAACTCATCGCCACTTTAATAGAAAATTTTGAACGGGAAAGCGGTAGTAATGGCCCTTTATGTCCACTAAGTGGTGTTAAGAAGGTAAATTTTGTTGATGTAAATAATAACTGTTTATATATTTATAACTTATTTTTGTTAAATCAGGATGGATTGACGTATTCAATTTATTTGTATTCAGTCCTGTTTCACCATAAATAACTACAACTTTTGATTTTTTAATGACACCCTCGGTATTTTTCGAGGTATTTTTTATTCGATAGAAAAAGACACTGAATAGAATGACATATCATATATGAACTTTTGAGATTTTCGCATATGAAATACCAAGTATGTAGTACCAAATTATTCGTAAAAATGCTTTTTCTAAACCAATTGAAAAAATTGAGATATGATTAAAAATACGATTTTTTTAAGGGAAATGTCAAAATTTTCCATACGATATGCCATTCTATTCAGAGTGTCATTTTCTATCGAATAAAGTAAAAAAAAATACCGAGGGTGCCATTTAAAAATCAAAAGTTACAGTCATTTCCGGTGAAACGGAAAGTGGCCAAAAACAATTGAATACGTCAATCAATCCTAATTTATGTTATATACGTTGTAGTACATACCAAATCTCGTTTTTTATCACAAAAAATAAAAAAAGTTATGTTGGGGTTTAAAAGGTTAAACAACTCTGGAGAAACATCCGGTATATTATGACCACAGTTTCCTATGAGAGCCAATCGCGAGTTGCGATTGCGATTTTAAAATCGTTGCGATGGAATCGCAGTTTGCGATTTTTTGCTCATCTCTAGTTACTAGGGCTATTGTTGCTAACGTTGTAGTGTGTGGACATAATCGTTATTTGTGTTCACCGCTCATCTTATCAGTGCGGGTAAAACTGCCAAAAAAGAGCGTCTGTGGGTGTCTTAACGAGTGATTAACGAAACGTGCCTCGGAGTATTAAAATATTTTGAAGCATTGAAGTTAAATTTTGTATAATCACCAAAAATTATATTTTTCTCGACGAATTTAAAAATCTCTTTGTTTAACAATAATATTTTCTTTCGCCATGATACGCTTCGAAGAAGTTCTCGCCTGCACAGACGTCAATAATTCTAATCGAGGTATCCATGTTTGATATTTAAATAAGGAGACGGGTTCTGTGTTTGCCTTCGACACTTACCGTCGGGAAAAACCTGTCTCATCTTGAGGTAGGACGTGGTCAGCCTGATGACGGACGCCTTGTCCAGCTGGGTGGTGATGGCGGCGGGCAGCGGCAGCAGCTTGCCCAGCTCGATGAATTCCGCGTTCTCCTTCTCGCGCCGGCTCCGCGCCGCGTTCTTGCTCTTCTCCTTCATGGCGCCCTTCGGGCAAACGTTCTGCGCTGAAACGAAAAAAAAAAGGATCAGTAACTTTATAAAAAAGAGCTAGCTAAGTGGAAACACCGTTTGTTCTCAATAGAGAGCAGTTAAGCGACGGTAGACGATGCGAGTGGATGGACGGGTGACCGTCTGGAAACTCTGTCGCGCTGTTCTTCCATGGCAAGAGTGTAAAATCTATTGACCACATAAACAAGTAGGCCCCGTGCAGTTTAGCCTTACCAACAAAAACGAAAGGTTAACTTATAAAATACTTTTTTTCCATAGCAACTGTTAAAATTGCCTTATGATCGAATAAAAACGGCGTCAGCGATGGCTATGAAATGAAGATCGCTGTCATTTTATATGTAAAATTATATGGGAAATGTCATCGATCGTCATTTCCAAGCCAACTGGACGCCGTTTTTATTCGAACATACGGTACTTTAACCGCAACGGTAGATTAAATGATACTTTAACAGCGAGGATAGGTTAAAAACTTTATTTCTCGCACGTTTTTTAATTGCTTCCATTTTTGAAAATTGTGGAGTTATTCGGGATTTAAAATGGAAGTAGTTTGGATATGGCGTTTGTCGCCTCAGCCTGAATATCTGTTGGTAATTTACTTATTTTGTTTTGAGCCATTTCTGGCTCCAATTCAATCAGCAATCGACACGAAAGAGAATTAAAAATATTGACTTAAAACTGACAACTAAAGAGACAGTTTTATTTATTTGTCAAATTACATTTGTCAGGAACCAACGCCAACCCAGTACAATATTTGTTCTACTCGTAATAAATTCCTTGAACTATTAATTTCTGAATATCTTTTAAATAAAATTAAATAAATCCATAGACTTAAAATAAAATATAGACTACACTATTTACATCTCAACGCGGTCAAACATTTTTTTTTGTACACATGTTTACTTCTGGGTACAGTCGACCGAGCCTTCCTCATCCAGCCTATGTTGTCACGTCTTTAATATTATCAATATTTTTTTTCTTGTTATACACATATATTGAGATATTTAATACTACATTTTAATAAAGTAGATTTTAATATTCCATAGATGTATTAAATAGTCCTTATACTACTAAATTATAAGTCGGATACTGTTTAAAAAGGTTAAGTTCTTTACAATATGACAACACCGATTAGAGGCGAGGGAGTCTATTCATTCATTTATTACCTTGTAGTACGCGTCGCACGTGTGCGGTAAAGCTTTGTTGCCGCTATGTCCCCGGCTGTATTAACGCATTTTCTTAGCTTGTAGTTCTTAAGTGTTTATTTTATTGACTTTTTCTGTTCAAGAACTATAAAATATGGTTCGCCAGTGCCAAATTTGCAAGAAATTTGGCTTAAATATTCCATTTAAGTCTTGAAACGACTTTCGACCGGTAGGTAACACTCAATTTACCCATTAGGAGTCAGTGGCGTTGTTGTAGAAAGGCGCTTATTTAGACAATATTTTAGTAAAATGTAAAATCGGAATTTTTTCTCTTACATTACATTATTTACTTACTTACATTGTAACAAAATCATAATTATAACCCTGTTAATAATGATCATAATTATAACCCTATTAATAATGTTTTTATTAAAAATATATTCCGGTTTATTCTAAAATTATCTTCAGAATCTAAAATAACATACAAGAATTTCAAATAATGTTACTTTATGAAACAATATTTTTTTAATATACCGGGTAGTCTCAAAAGTGGCTCACCCCCTATACCTTTTTTATTTTTTCAGATAAAAAAACAGATTTGTATGTTAGTAGGTATATGACATAAATTAGGATTTATTGACGTATTCAATTGTTTTTGGTCTCTTCCTGTTTCACCGAAATGATTACATCTTTTGATTTTTAAAGCACCCCCCTGGTATATTGCTGCTTTATTCGATAAAAAATGACACTCTGAATAGAATGACATGTCATATGTCAACTTTTGACATTGTCGCTTAAAAACAAATCGTATTTTAAATTTCAATCCAAGGTGCCATGGTGTTGTTAAAAACACTAAGTTTTAATCAAGGAGCCTTGGAAAAATAGTTTTGATCGTCTAATGGGTTTCGTGTCTTGTCTAGGCCGGTTTAAAGATGTACAAATCGTATTTTTAATCATACATATGTCAATTTTTTCAAATGGAACAAGGGTGACTCATTAGCATATTTGGAAAAAGTCTTTTTTTATGAATATATTGATACCGCACACTTGGTATTTCGAGTCAAATTGTCGTTATGAACCGCGTGTTACAATTACAATTAAACCATATGCAAAAATGTCAAAAGTTGGCATATGATATGTAATTCTATTCAGAGTGTCATTTTCTATCGAATAAAGTAGAAATATACCGAGGGTAGCGTTTAAAAATTAAAAGTTATAGTCATTTCCGGTGAAAGAGGAAGTGACTAAAAACAATTGAATGCGTCAATCAATCCTAATTAATGTCATATACTGATATACTAAATCTTGTTTTTTTATTTGAAAATATAAAAAAATTATGGGGATGAGCCACTTTTGGGACGCACCCGGCATAATAAAGACAGTACCGAGTTAAATAAATGTAGTTTTCATTTTATCCACTTCCTATCACCTTCTTTGCTTTAATGGAACAAATTTATGTTTTCTCTAATTTACATAATAAGACATCACCTAACCTGAAAAAAAATTACAACAATTATATATTTTTTTTCTCTCCCTGTCGCCGATTCTATTATATCTGTGGAATAGATCCTGTTTTGATTAATATTAGGGGTTGTAAATGTTTGACTAAAATTAATAATTTATTATTAACTTCAAAATTACGTAATTTCGATTATAAAATTTCTTCTATAACGTGTATTTTATTATTTTATCCTTTTGGATTCTAATACGTTTTTTTCTAAACTTTTATTTAAAAAGCCTGTCCTAAATCTTAATAAAATATAAAAAGTTTAAATACGATATATTTTTTAATTTAATTATAGCTCCATTAAAATAAAAAAATTACCCGGCTATGATACGGAGAGTTCAGGTGTACTTGAGAAACGAAAGACAGTGTTGTGTTTCTCGGCAGAGTCGTCAGGGAACGACCGTTACGACAGAGACAACCGATCTATCGCTCGTGTCGCACTCGTTATAACCTAAAACAATAACACAACAATAACAAGACATTGTCTGACCGCATGTTCCAGCTATTTATGAATGAGGTGCTCAGTCTATATTTTATTTTAAGTCTATGAATAAATCACATACATTCGCTGACAGTAGTTTCGGAGAAACCATTTTTTATTATTTTGTATTTCATTAAGTATACAGGATCCGGCAATAGTGCGTCGGGCAACTGTAGCTCCTAGAATAAAAAACTTGAGAATTTTGTATAAGTGCAAACCTAAAGTATGTACAAAGAGGAATTTTAGGAAAATATTTTAACTTCTATAGGGTTGCTCAAAAAAGTGTGAGTGGATCGGAATGATTGTGTTTTAAATGGAACGCCCTCTATATTGTTGCATTTTTTGGCTTCCTTTCAGATCACTTTAGATAATCCTAAGATATGAGAAATTATATTTCGATAATTTCAGAGAGATTAGTAAATAAATAAAAAATATATTTTACAACTTTTCTTAAAAAAATTATTACAAATGCGAGAACTGTCCTGAAATCAAAACTATATTAGCTATTTAGTTTAGAGGTTCTATGGAACACCCTGTATATTAGTTTTTTATTAGATGGAGAGTTAGAAGATGAAATTTTTTTGAATTTAAAGTATTTCAAAAATTTTAATGGTTTCGCAGATACACGCAGTATTATTTCATATGGCTCTTTCAACCGCAAAATACGAGAGAAAAATCAATGGGTGGCTTTGATAAAAATTTACTGTGCAAAATGCCATATGAAATATAAAACCGCGAATATCTGCGAAACCTTTAAAAATTTTGAAATACTCTAAATACAAAAAATGTTCATTTTTTAATTTTCCATCTATTGGTAAAGTAATATATTATAGCGTCTTCCATTTAAAAAATCGAAGAAAAAATATTTTTTATTTTAGAAAGTTTGGCGTAGAATTTTGAACATCTTGTATGATTTAACCTAACCTAACCTAACCTACCTAAAGTATACACCTAATATAGTTTTGATTTCAGGACCGTTCTTGTAAGAAAGACTGAAAAATATCTTCAGAGTTTCCTACGATATTCTCTATGGGTATCTCGGAAACTAGGAACTGGAGATAGAGAGTCGGTTAAATGAGGAAAGAATTGTAGTTTTGTGGGGTCATAAATATGCACCTTTCAGATTTTTGAAAAAGTTCATGGCTTACTAGATATTTCGAAAAAAACAAATTTTGGCTATTTTAAAAATTGACGATTGAACATGTTTCTATGGCTACGAGAAATTAGCCAAGAAAGATAAGAATTGGCTATAACTCAGTAATTTTGTGACAAAAAACATATTATAGCTTATATCGCTGAAAAGCTTAAAAAATTACGCTTTTTGTGAAGTCATGGTCAACTATTATTTCCATTTAAAAAAAAAACATATGTTTGTGTCATATGTGAAAAATGACAGGCTTTAGAAAAAATCGGAGAACACAAACTCATTAGGGATGTGATTATCTACAACTTTTATCTGAAAACTTTTTGTTTAAAATAGATTATAATGGAATTAGGGACAATTTTTAAAATAGCCAAAATTTGTTTTTTTTTCGAAATATTTATTAAGCCATGAACTTTTTCTAAAATCTGAAAGGTGCATATTTATGACACCACAAAGCTGTAATTCTTTCCCCATTTAACCGACTCTCTATCTTCAGTAGTTTCCGAGATACCCATAGAGAACATCGTAGGAAACTCACCTTGTATATATATTTCTTATTTATTTATTAATATCTCTGAAACTTTCGAAATATATTTACACATATCTTGTAGAATGTCATTCTACACATATCTTAGGATTATGTAAAGTAATCTGAAGGGAAGCCAAAATGGCTATAATATACAAGGCGTTCCATTTAAAAAAAATCATCCCGATCCACTAAC